CTAACAATTTAAAGTATACTTTTTCTCTAACCAACAAACACCCTAACATGTGTTTCTTTGGACTAACCTGTGTTCCACTTCTGACCAAGCGATTCCTTTATTTTTTTTCTCCTTCTCTCTGCTTTTGGACTGTGATGATGAAATCTGACGTGCTTCCGTTGGTGACAAGTAATCAACATAATCAGGTACAATAGCACGACCCGATTCGATCAAATCAACATCATGGACCAAAGCTTCGTAGTACTTGGTCACTTCTTCCACCGGTTTATTTAAAGACACGGCGAGCTTCTGAAAATCATCTGAGAATTGCACCAAAGCCATCTCAAAGCGCTTGTCGTCGTCTCTTGTCCACTCCATCTCTCTCTCTGCCCTAACAACAAGAAAAATCAAATTCTAAATCTTGAAAGATCTGTTTAGTCTAGTCTAGTCCCAAATATGATACAACAAGGAACAAGAAAATCTTTTTTATCTCCCAAATATTTGATACGTTTGATATTTTATTAAATAAACAAAAACTTGATATAAAAACCAGATAGATATCGACGAGCAATCCAAATTCAATTTACGTTTTTTTCCAAAACCGGTATCGAAGACACTGAACCGGTTCGAATTGGACCCGGTTCAAATGTGAACTTTTATCTACTACGAGCATTGAAGTAATTTGTGAGCTACTGCCTACTGATGTGTTTAAACTTGAATCAACATAAGAAACTCAGAGACATTCAGCCTTGAATTCTTGATCTCTTGTTAGGTTGATTTTTTTGTGTTTTGTTTATGAGCGGAATTAAAAAAAAACGAAACAAGAACACAAGAACCTCACCAGAAGTTTCGACTTGATCGGTTTAGGAGACAAAGAGACGACGGATATTTCGTCGGATATAGCTGAAACCACCGGAGAAGACGAAGAATCTCTGATTTTCCGATCACTCTTCTCTTCTCTCTCTCGTTGCTCTGAAAAATCTGTTAGAGAAAACAGATTTATAACAGCCTTAAGCTGGGCTTTACTTCACCAGGCCCAGCTCTTGTTTCTTATGATAAATATATAGGCCATAACGATTAGGCCCATGTTTGACTTTAGTATTGACCAGAGTCACACCAACGAAGTGGCAGGTAGGTTTTGTTGTTTCAAAATCC